TCTTTGTGCACTAATAACAGGTCATAGATTTAAGTTCACATGTTACAGTTCATATTTATATGTAATAGATCAATATCCACAGGCTATAGGTTCAAAAGAACTGATCACATGCCATTGGATTAACATCACATTTAATAATTTACAGGTCACAGGTCACATGTAATAGGTCAATGTTATAATGCATAGTGCGTAGGTCGAATTCATGAGAATTGATTACAGGCCATTGAGTTCTACGACCTTAGTTGTTACCATTGCATTCAAAAATTCTATTACACGATGCTGCAACTTCTAATAACCAAATTTTAGCAATGAGAATTGAAGTTGTTTACTCCAATAAGTTTTTTATAGATTCTCTTTTTGTTTGATATTTTCTTACAGGGTGCTGACAACTATCAATTTATGACATTAATCGTTTAACGAGTTTCAATCAATCAGATTTCAATTGTGAGAATCAAAGTTATTTACCTCAATAAGTTCTTTATAGATTTTGTCTTTATTCAATATTCTGATATCTTTCAATTTATGACTTCAATAGTTTCATGATTTTCAAACAATCAGATTTTGGCAGTGATAATGGAGAATATTTGATGTGAAGAGGTCTCTACAGCTCTCTATTTTGCTCGGTATTTACGATTTCTTGTTCTTGAGAGTCATATTTAGAATGGTAATTGTGAAAACGTTATTTTAGGATGTATATTCATTATAATTTATTTTACATAAAATATTTATAATTACTAGATGAGTTTTGAACTTTTAAAGTTTGTTTCTTAAAAATGAAATGAGGTATAGTAAATGCCTGATTTATGTATTCTTCCCATATATAAATGTTTTAAGTATCATTTTCTACTTCGTAAAAAGTAGTAAAAGTTGAATTAAAAAAAAAAAGGCATAATGTGTTATATGAATTATTATAATAATATAGGTATTACATGTAATTTCCTCTTAAAAAATTGAAAGAGTTGGGCCAGGCCCAAAATTTCAGTGCAAGCCGAGTCCTACACTAGTCCTTAGCTGCCTCCACATCGCTGATTTAACTAACTCCAAATCAATTTATAGGACTCTCAACTTAGGGTCGAGTCAATTTTTATGAAATACTTTTATAGAAAGCTACGATCTAATCTATTGCATATGTAACACAAACGAAGTCAATTTATATAGTACTAAGCCCCACGTTTGCTTTGAACTAAAATTCAGATAGATTCTCAAGTCAAAATCAATTATTTATTTTAATCTCATAATTTATGACATCCATAATTGTTTAACAACATAATTTTAATAATTTTTATCAATTTTTATTAAAAATTTAATTTTAGTCTATGCTAAGTGTAGTATTGAGCCAATTTTTTTTTAGATACTCTATAGACAACTAAAGGTCGAGTTTATTACGAATTTAACGCATAATAAATAATAAATTAGCAAGTTAAAGATTCAACAGTAAGCGTGACTTCCGTGTGTGAAAATCGTGGGAGCGAAGGATCCATCGTTTCTCTAATCCATTTTTCAGCCATTCTTGAAACTACACAAAATAACTGGCAAACAATCACAATTCAAATGAATTCTTGTGGTGGAATTACTCCTTGCATACAAATCTTGAGACCCAATAATGACATTGTTCCAAAATGCAAAGCGATTATCCCTCGCAGTCGACAGCTGCCTGATTTCTACAATAGAACCCAATTTCCTCTGCAAATTTCTGCGTCTTTTCCGTTGAAATATAGAGATACTTTAAATATTTTAGCATTTGCGTCTTCCAATGGCAACTGGGTAGAGGTAGAGGCCGATAATCGTAAAGAATATGAGAGTGATGAGTTCATAGTGGTGAATTTTTACCGGTTTGTCTGTATTAAAAACCCAGAAGAGGAGGTCTCTAAACACCTTTCCTTCATGCAGGTGAGTTTTTGATTTATTGTTTTGTGGTGTTTTAAACACGTGTTTCGTCGTCAATTTTGCAATATTGATCTTATTTAAATTGAATAATCATAAGTCTCATGATATTTCATCAAAAAATGGAAGGAGTGGTTTTTTTTTTTTGGTCATGATGGCAAGGGATTTAAGGAAGACGGACAGGTGACTGTAAGAATTAGTACTAGCTTGGTTTACATGAAACTGCAGGTTGCAGCCTAAGAGTTGAAGTTTTCGTCTACCACATTAGGGAGAATTCACTGATTAAACCAGCTCGCAAAGGCTTGTTTGTCCTTAAATCTTGCTTTAAGGAGAGAGTACCGAATTGGTTATAAGTCCACAACCAGAAGTCAAATTTTAACATAGTCGTTACTTTCTATCCTTTTAGAACTGACGATCACGGTGGTCCATATTCCCAATTAGATAGGCTTCCCGAAACTAGTCTTGTATGCAATTAGTCCTTCCAGTTTGCCTCGTCCATAATGTGGGCTGTAGTCTGATATCAATTGTTACAAACACATTGAGTAGAATTCGCTTTTAAAACATGCTTGCAACGGGAGTGTGCAAGTAGTTCAAAGCTCGCAGCAAAGCTTTAACTTAATGGTGTGGACGCAATTAATGTCATTACAAAATTCAGAATCTTCATTGGAACTTACGTCTACATATTGTTTCTTTGGCAATGATTACGGATAGATGTCTACATCAATTAACAATGGGTTTTCTTGTTGATAATTCAGGGTCGGGGTATTCATGGGCGTATATACCTGAATGAACAAGGGATTAATGCCCAGGTATGCTTTGACTCTTTATTGCCCTTTCAACATCTGTATATGATCATTAAAATGTTTAGCCTGTATTAGTTCAGAAATTGATCGTTCTATCAATTTTTCTATATGTACTATGCTGTTGTGTCCACTATTAAAACAAACTTTTATTAATGCCTTCTTAGTTTAGTGTATTAAGTTACCTGTTCGTGGTTAAGTATCAAGGCTGGTTAATTCGTCAACAATGAATTTTTTATTCAGCATAGATTTCATCTGTTTTTCCCCGAAACTCCTTGTTTTGCAGTACAGTGGGCCATCAAAAGATGCTCTTGCATATGTGGAATGGGTGAGGGAGGATCCCAGGTTTTCTGATATATTGGTTCAGATCTTGCCAGCATCAAATGGCCATGCCTTCCCAAGACTGAAGCTGCGATATAAGCCATCACTTGTACAGGCGAGCTACATGTTTATAGATCCTCTCTATTTTGTTTTGATGTTAGCTGTAAAATTTATTGATTTTGCATGAGAAGAATGTTTGAGAGTATTCATTATATATATGCTTTAAACTACTGCTCCTCGCCATCCCTTTTTCTGCTCTCCATTAAAGACTTTTTGATCAATAACTTCAACCAACAAAGTATGATGGGTTAATTTATGATATTACTTTTGAATTTTGCAATTCTTAGTTACAGCCATTGCATGATTTAATTATCAATTGTTTCTCCACTTTCATACATGTTGTAATCTTGAGGACATTTACCAACCTTTTAGATGCACGATTCCTTTTTTTCTTGATAAAGACCTCTATATATTAGTTATCAATCAATGATGTGCATGATTATTTAATGTATCCAAGAAACATAAAGCATGGGGATATTCTTCAGTTGAATTTTATACAAATAATTATCTTGGTTTGCGATTCTTTATACCAGTTGGAAGGAGGGATTTCACATCTTCCTTTGCTTGACCAATCAATGCGAGCGACACCCCTTACTCCATCTCAATGGAGGAGCAGACTGGAATCAGTAAATAATAACAATTCATCAAATGCAGTCAATACACACTGCATTCTACTCGATGTTAGAAATGGTAACTTTTCACTACTCTTCAAAAGTGTTGTTAAACCATGTTGTTTGCATCTACCTGCTTTGGTTTACTTTTCACCTAATGTAAGTGCACTAGAGTAGATCATCTCCTCAAGAGTTTTAAATGCCAAGATTATCTCCTTTCAATTCTGCTTTTGGATGATTTCTTGGTCTTTCATTCATTAATGTCAAAGTATAATGAATACTCAGCTACTTGGTCGAATTCCAATAAGTTGTAAGGACACTAGATGCTTTAATTTTGTAACATCATGACAAAAGATGATCAGTTTCTTTGGTGAATCTGCACAATGAATAGTCAGCAGAGTTTTTAAATTGTGTGATACAACATTTGCCATAAATCAGTGATTACTGGAATCAACAATATGCGTAAGAAGCTGCATCTTCTTGAAACAAAAAAAAAATATATTTTCTGACATTTTTTTTTTGTGGAAAGCTAATTATAGTATAATCATATATTTTCATATAATCATTTTTTTAGTTTACCTATTTATGTTCTATATTATGATACGTAATAACAATGTAGGTAAACTAAATTTGCCTATATTCGAGCATTAGGATGATCTTTATTTTTGTTTGTAAATTTTCTATTGGTCGTCATGTGCTTTCTATTACAATCTCTCCAAGGATCCTCATTTAATGAGCATATAGAAGTCTAACATCTTGATAATTTGGGCAGTACAACACCGTTAGCCTTATAATATTCTTTCAATCTATCACTTTCGACGCCCATGCACGATGTGCCTGAAGTTTATTTTCATAATTCAAATGTCTTCTGGTTCAAAGTAATAAGAGTTAAGCTTCAATCTCAAGGTAACTGAATGAGCTCTGTAAATTTATTCAGTAACACATCTTTTGGCCTCTGATTTGAGTTATCCATTTAAAGCTCTCATTATTGAAGAAGCTATATTGATTTGCTCCGCTTCTGTTTGGCAAATTTATATATCATTTATAAAAAAGAATAGTAGTGGGTGTCACGATATATGTGAGTAATAAATAAGTTGTGCTATTGAAATAAATGTTTGACTTTAACTAAATTCATAAACCGTTTATAATTTGGCTGACAGAAACAGAGACTTAAATATAACAGTTAGAATCTAAATTATATTGAGGACATGTGCTGTTTCATGATATAGTGTAAAATAGCTGTTCTCTTTTATCCATTTAGCATATAAAGTCAAACCTAGTCAATAATATAAGTTAATGACAGCTTAATTTTAATTAATTTGAAAACTTACCGAATTTTCAAACGGAGAGACACCCACCTTTTACATCGGCAGCAATACACTCTTTACAATTGGTGTGACACTCTTTCATGCTGGAACTAGGGCATATCCCCTTCTTCATACTTCATTTTTTCTATTTGTAATATTCTGATAATATCTTCTCATTTCTTTTACATGATTTCTTGAAACTGTACAAATTCTTTCATTAACATACATTCAGATGAACATTCAATTATGTAAGACACATTTTCTTATTCCTGTTTTCATTTATACATAAAATCTTTACTTAATATTATTCGCTCAAAAATCTCATTTACTGATAACTAGGTTATGAATGGGATGTTGGTCATTTCCAAGGGGCTCAGCGCCCTGATGTGGACTGCTTTCGAAGCACTTCTTTCGGCCTATCAGAGCCTGAGGTAGGGCCATCCAATGACATGTAGTTCAAATCAGTTGATGAATATTGAGTATTCTCCAGCATTTGTATTGTGCCATCTATACAGGTTTACAAAATTTTATCTTCTTGTTTATTTAGCCCGAGGTGCATAACTATGACTATCATTTCACAAAATAAGTTGCTGATATTATTTTCCTTTGGAATTATTTTTTTCCAAATATCTCTGTTTTTGCAAGATAACTTTTATTCATATTTTTATTTTCCACTAATCTATGTCCAGGTCATGGCTACAGACCCTTTGGCTACTGTCGACAAAGAGAAAACAGATATACTGATGTATTGCACTGGTGGAATCCGCTGTGATGTTTACTCCACTATACTTAGGTAGATTTTATTTAATTTGAGTGTTCCTGGTTCCTTTTCTGTTTGTTTTGACTGTTTCCATTTTCCTATCTGCATGTATTTGCATGTCCGAAACCAGTGCAGTGTGTTTTCAAACAGGGAAAACTATAGCATCCAATATAATGTGTACCTTTGTCCCTATATTCTCATGAACTCTTATGGATATTCCTGAACATGTTGAAAATTGAACCCGAAGAACATATTTTTATTTATGAATTCATTATACTAAATATTAATTTTTTCCTGTGAGAATCAATTTATCAGATGTTATTGTGATGTCTAATACTGTATCCTAAAATATAATCAATCTTAGTGAAAGTCTGCCACTGTTTTCTAAACAAGGAAACAATCTTTATTTATCAGTTAATTCATCATTTTGCCCATCTATATAGGCCTCATTGAACTGAACCATGTAAATTTACATTCTGTTTCTTTTCTTGTTCTCCACTTTTCTTCTTTGATATATCTGTAATGTGTGGTTTGCCAAAATAAAAAAAATAAAAATTCTTAAGCAACATGATTACTGTCTTGTATTTTTTTCTCTTGATTATATGGAACTGATTTGTGTCTTCTAAAACTTTTAGCATGTCCACTAGCATTCAGAATTCTAACCTGTTCCCTGAAGTGATCTGATGTAGAGCATTAAGGAGAAAGACAAAGAAGAGGAGGAATTGGACTATTTGGGAGATAAATGTATTGGTAAATTTCACTTATATTGAATATCACAAAGTCGATCTCAAAATTATTCAACAATATTAATCTTGTTTATCCATAAAATTCCTAATAAGAATGGAGAAATTATTAGAATATGAAATTGGAAGTTTTCCTGACTGAAGAACTAATAATTATTAGAAATAAATAAATCTACATTCTATTTTTACACCTAGGTAAATGTGTAATTGTGGCATGTGATCTTCCATCATAGGAAGGTAATTGCCTTCATTATGACTGTAATCTCCTGTGCAAACTCCATAATGAAGCTTTCTGTAATTGAACTTCAACTTGCTTAGTAAGTAATATTTATTTGGACGGTGATAGCATGGAAGACATCCCTAATATCCATTCATTGAACCATCAACATAGTTTCTTTACCTACTGGTGATAAATAGTTTGAACTTTTTTATGAGTTGTGTTCACTTCTGTCCATGATCATAGGCGTTAGATGGGGTATACTTCTGTTCTTTCTCTTAATGTTTGATTAGACTACTTGGAAGGTTCGATGTTATGTTGAAGTGTCTTTTAACATTTTGCAGGTTGGGTATTCATGTAGTTCTTGTTAGTTTATTAACATTTTGGAAATTATGCATAAATTGCTGGGTAATATATATTTTTTTAAGTTCATATGTTGCTGCTGTTAAACTTATTGTTGCAACCATTTTCTCTCTGTGTTTGATCATATCATGGAAAGGACTTCTTATAAGTTCTACTTTCCCTTTCATGTTTTGTTGGATTGCCCTAATTAGTTCTGGTTTATGCACCAGGCAAAAAGGTTTCAAAAGACTATATACTTTGAAAGGAGGTGTTTCTCATTATCTCGAGAATGAAGGTTCTGTTGGATGGATTGGAAATCTGTTTGTTTTTGATGACCGTCTTTCTCTACCACCTTCTATCTATGAGCCGAAAATTAATACTGAAGATAGTAGAATGCAAGACACATCCCAGAATAATTCTTTTGCTAAATGCTTCATATGTGGCTCACAAGTTTCGGAGTTGAGGCACCGCAACTGTGCAAATCTTGACTGCAACCTACTTTTCCTGTAAGTTTTTATTCTACAAGAGAAATCAACATATATTTTAGAGAAAATTACACCTGAGGACCCGACCCTTTGCGAAACAGTGCATTCAGGTTGCTAACCTTCCATATGTAGCCCTTAGCCCTACCTTTCACCTTAGTATCATTTATGTCCCCACCTGACAAAAATAGTCAAAAGAGCCGTTAAAAAGTCATGGATGAGAAAGCTAATGAAACAGAAACTTATTCTCTTTCATCCAATATATGTTTGCTTTATTATATTGTTATGTTTTGACTATATTCCAAATAAATTATTACGAATGTGAAATCTTTTTGTTCAATTGTAAAATGAAAATTTTTAAGTAATCAAAATAATCATCCAGAAAAACCTTTTTAATGGCAATTCATGGAAAGAACATGGGATAATATTTTTGCTAGGAAAGCTATGCATGCACATGCTTGTTATAGATAAACTATTTTACTCCCCAGTTATGTCATTATTATGTTTCTTTTGTCATGTTAGCTTTTTCCTTAATGGAAGCAAAATCTCTCTTATTTTGAAAAACCATAGCAAATACATTAAGGTCTAAAACTGAAGAGTATTCTTTAGGACCAGATCCAAAACATGTTGTACACGAGCAGGTTCCTTAAATTTAAAGGTCAACAAGTTTCTTCTTTTAATTTGATTTTATAAAGTAAGTGTATTAAGGATGAAACAAAAGATTTTGTTTCATTGCAAGGGATCATAAAAATGAAGAAATTATTTTTACAAATTATATAAAGAAAGAGACACAGTGTTAGAATTTATCAAAACTCAATTGAAATTAGAATGTTATCTACATCACATAGATCTGATTTCAGTAGTGAGAGATGGGAAAAGATAAAAATCAGGAAAACAATTAGTTTAGGTGGGACCCCTAACAAAGTTTTGGAAATGTTGGTATTTTATGATTGAGCAATATTGTGAATTAAATCTTGAACAAGAAAAATATGTTTGATGAATGGAGGAAGAATGTTATAGTACATGTTTATGGGAATGATCTTAAATATTTTACAGGCTATAGGGGTATGAAGTTGGGAGCCATACTATGAATAATAGGGGTGGTTGATGAGTGGTATGGATTAAGGTGTAATTCAGAAGTATCGGACTGCTCACTTTTATGTCAGGGAGATAGAAGCTAGTTACCTACTTCGACAATTGATGGAAAATTAGAGAAAAGAAACAAGATTTATATATGATCTTAATTGATTTCAAAAAAGGATATAATATGCCAATTGATTTGAAATGATGTCATTTGCTGGAAATATAGTTTTAGTTGATGAGAATAATAGGTTAGAACTTTGGATTAATACTTTAGAATCCTAAATTAAGATTAAGTAGAATAAATTAAGTATAGTTTTCTCGTGGATTACCTCAGACAGCCAAGTCGCACTTCCTTCAGTAAGTGGCCAAGAGTTAGCAAGCAATCCCAGCCTCTCGGCAGGTGCTTTGTACCAAGGAGAGATGACACCATCAGGTAAGGGAAGGAAGAAGCTGATGGTTGTGGCATTTGTGAGTATAAACCTAAATAGACTTTCATTCTTAGAAGTAATCAAATCACAATGAAACGATAGGTAAGCTAAAACTATCACCATTTGTTATGGTTGCACATCTTTTGATTTCATTAGGTCCTTTAGTAGATTTAATTAAAAGGGGTTTTCTTCTTGTTTTATACTAACCCCCCTCCCCCCAACCAACCACCCAATTATTTTCTTTCTCAATAGCAACAGGCTCGAGTATTTTATCGATTTTAGGGCCGTTATGTATGGTTTACTCCTGTTAGTACCATTATGAACTTGAATTTTCATTTTGGTAGTTTTCAGCATAAGTGGATATTGATTATTTAGTTTGCTCTGATATTGAAACATGCATATTTGTAAAAGTAAAGAATATTGATTAGATATGTAAATTTCAATGTAAGGGTATCTTCAAAGTTTCTTTTACTCTTGTTTCTAGAGAGATGATTTTAAAAATAAAAATAAAATTGTAATGTTCATTCAGGAACTCGGAGATTTGGAAAAGAATCTCTTCGAGAAATGAGACCAGTTGTCTCCTAACACTTTCTTCTTCCATCACTGGATGAACGCGGGCGCTTACACACACACACACACACAAAAACAGACACTCTATTCCATATATCTGTTCATGTTCGTGCCTTGTAGTGATTCTGTTGTCTTTTCTGAATCTGCCATTGGAGACGTAGTGTGCAATCTGCCAGGGTTTTAAACACTCCATAGACCTGAACCGGGTGTTACCATTTGCTTTATAGATATTGCGAAGTGTGAACAGATAATGATTTATCCTTGTTTACTTTTCACATCCCCTATTTTGTTGAATATACATGAAATTTTAGTTCGAACTTCACTCGTGCAGATGCTGCTTGGCGTGTGTGGATAATTTGAGAGGATGTTGCTGCTTGAAGTGCAAATCTGCGCCTCGTCTTCGACCTGTGTTGCCTAGTGATCAGAGATACAAGAAATGGCACAATTATCGTGCCAGTTTGGAGCTCTGCAAGAATGGTGAAATGCATCAATATTGGGCAGCTGAATAACTAGTGGAATGCCATTTGTTAATGAAGATTTACATGACTTCAAAGTTCTAAGGACTGGAATTTTGTTATGCAGCCTTCAGTCAGGGAAGCAAGTATATATGCAGAAATTCTTGAAGCTGAAGTCGACAACTTATGGGTATGTCTAGCTGCTTAAATCTTTTATTTTGACAGTTGGGTCCCCATGCTTTTGATATTGTAACAATTGGGTCACTAGTGGAAGGTTTCTATCTTCTTATGGTTAAAATGCAAAGTTTTTGGTAAAATAGAAACACAATTTTTGCTGTCAATCATTTTTTGACAGCACAGAAATCTGTCAACAAAGTGGGCAAAATCATCTGACAAAATAGCATAACTCGAACAAGATTAATAAAAAGTTGCATCTCAGTAGACATTAATATTTGTCAAATAAATTTTTTTTTTTTAAATTTCTTTAAAGAAGACCAACATTGATAAAAATTGACTGAAAAGAAACAGAATAAGAAATCTAAACTACGAATCTTATTCAGGATTATTCATTCTCGATTTTTTGGTAAATAAGAATATTTTAAATTTCTAAATTAAATATAATATCACTGTTATGAGAACTAAAAAAAAAAAAAGGATCAAATAAACAATAACAAAATCAAGAAATAAAAAAGGGAAGTCGCGATTTACATCAACTATTATTATATGTCCATACCACTCTATATTTATCCATATTAAATTTTTTTTTCCTTGAAAAATGGTATTTTCATCTTCATCACATTTCAATATTGCCTTTTAAAATTATTAATTTAAACAATATATATCCACACAATTTTTATATATTTATCTTATCATAATTCATTCAATAATTTCATATATCTATCCACACCTTTTTTTTATATATATCCATATAATGATATAATTTTAGTTGAAAAGCACTCTTATCTTTCAACCCACTATACTATTCATAATTGTGGGAACACAGTATACTTGTAGCCTCTAAAATTAACGAGTGAATGGGGCTGATGCGTGGCTATGTATATCCCATTATAATTCCTTCATAATCTTCTTATATCTTCAATCATCGCCATCAACATGCAGTGTCAAATTTCTTTACTTATTTTGATAATCCCAACAGATTAGCCACCATTAGTTTGAATTCAAG